TGGTCATATCGAAATGATTTGTTCTCTCCTTCCTCATTGTAAATATACCAGAAGGTATTTGTGCTGCGAAAGATATTCTCCGCCATAAAGTGTAGGGAGTGGATGACGGAAGGCGCAATTTGTACTTTTTTCCATCTGAAATCCGAACAAATTTAGATGGTCATAGAGTGAGCGGAGCGATTGCAGTTCATCGTGTGATCTATTAGCTTCTTACTACTAATTACCACTCGGCAAATTAAAAAATGAGCATTTCATGACGGTATACTTTTCGTCATGTCGTACTTTTGAGTAGATTCCTGTATTAGGCCTTCAAATGATTTGAGAACCTTAATGATTATCTAAACTGTCGGCTGTATTTCGGGACACTAAACATGTTTTTGCATCGGAACAAACACCTTTTCTTCAATTACACTTTATATTTGGCGGTGCTTCTCTTGATCGGTAAGACATCAAAGTTTCTGTTTCTGAAATTTGAGAATAATTTTTTATATTAATGATATTCGTTGGTGGGAAAACTTTTTTTTTTTTTTAATTATTTTATTTGGCAAATCAAGTCACATAATACAACAATATAACAAACATGAATTGAGATTAAAAAAAATCAATAGGAAGCATATATAAATATTGCAATAGCAGGTGCATCCGGTCGAGCTGCCCGGGTATGGAAAAAGTTAACCAAATAACTGTGATCCGCAGACCTTCCTCCCCACACCCGACTAGATGCATCTGATATTGGTTAAAATAAAGCTTTACAAAAAAAAAGATAGATGAGAAGAAAATGGAGGAAAGAGGGAGAAAAAGAAAGGAAAAAAAACATTGCATGACAATTTTTTTAAAAGTTGTGATTTCATGACAGGTATAGTAACATATTATTACTGTTAATCATTAACACCATCATCACGTTGTAAAAAAATAATATAATATCATTATCATTATCGTTATTAACATTATTACTACTACCGTTACTATCATTTTTTTAAAAGTTGTGATTTCATGAAAGGTATAGTAACATATTATTACTGTTAATCATCAACACCATCATCACGTTGTACAAAATAAATATAATATCATTATCATTATCGTTATTAACATAATTACTACTACCGTTACTATCATGATTATTATGATTTTTATAATTTGTATCATTGACATCAATATTTATATTAAAACATCAACAACAAAATTAATTTTCATTGAGAATACAATTTCAACAACAACCAGTCTCGAAGCTATTGCACGATTATAATATGTACAGATAAAGGTAAGCCCTATATCATGTTTAAATATTAAGATTCAGTAATACAATTTTGGAATGGTTTGGAATGGTTAAAATGGACTGTGTATTGTTTCAAATACATATCATTATTGTTTCATATTATATAATGAAAAATGGAACAAAAATTATACGGTATACATCACAGGTGGTTATTATGTGAAGTCTCATTTATAGAATTGAAGGATTATTTATATTCTATAAATGACCATAAACAGCAGCAATTGAACAACTAGCAATAAGAAAGCATAAACAGCATTAAAAGATCACACTGTTACAAATATGTATAAGCATATTCGTCATTATTATTAACATCATTTATATTATTGTTATTGCAATCATTATTATTGCTACGATTATATCATATAACTTTTACAATCATTATTAATATTATTAAGGAATATAATGTATAATACAACATGAATAAATATGGAATCATATATATATATACAGATTTACAAGCCAGAGTTCAACACCTTCAAGTGGGAGCACCAAGTGCCAATTTGAGTCAATAGTACATCGTTACGAATATGTTGAGGAAGTGTGTCCCACAATCTGGGAAATGAGTTAATGGCTGACGAACGCAGTCTTTCAGTTCGAGCGAACAAATGTTTGAACTTCAGGTCGGTACTATACCTTGGGTTTACATTTATGGCGCTGTTTACACTATCGCAGGATACATACATAAACAAACATTTGATAATGAATGTGATCAAAGTGAACTTCCGACGAGACTCAAGAGATGACCAGCGGAGGCGTCGCAACCTTTCCTCGTATGACATTTCCATTCTTCTTTGTTTAAGGATAATTCGGGTCGCTCTACGTTGAATACCTTCAATCTTACCGATTAAATTTTTCGTATACGGGGTCCAAACCGGTAGACCATACTCGAGTATGGGTAAAATAAGAGCTTTGTACAGACAAAGTGTAGCGTGGGAAGAGAGACCGGATGAAACACTAGAAAGCAGCCCAAGGAGCCGGTTGGCTCGTGAGACAATGTAGTTGACGTGACTATCCCAAGATAAGCGGTTATTTATCATGACACCTAAATATTTGGTCTCAGTTACTACATCAAGAAGAACGCTATTGATGCTGTACTCGGGAATACCTGGATTCTTAGCGCATGATATCCTCATGACTTTAGATTTTGAAGCGTTGAGACACATCTTGTTGTCTTGGCACCACTGATGAATGCTATCGATGTCATTTTGGAGGTATTGGTGATCGACGGGAGCATACATGGGGCGAGAGATGACAGTGTCATCCGCGAATAATGCACATGAGGAGTCAATGTAGCGGGGCAGGTCATTGATGAACAAGTTAAATAGACAAGGACCTAATACGCTGCCCTGTGGGATACCGGATGTTGGTGAACTCCGTGAAGAGAAATATCCTTTGTACTGAACACGCTGTTGACGTCCAGACAGGAAAGATCGAATCCAGTACCATACGTCACCAGTAACATTATATAATGAAGACAATTTGTGCGATAGAACATCGTGAGGCATGCGGTCGAAGGCTTTTGAAAAGTCGAAAAAAGACTGCGTCAATACGGGGCGGGCGACGTTGATCTAAGATAGACATCCACTGGTGAGTAATGGTAAGAAGTTGGGTCACACATGATTTTTTAGATACAAAACCATGCTGGACTTGTGATGAAAGGCAATTCGATTCCATGTGATTGCAGATTGCCCTAGAAATGAACGATTCCATCAATTTACTAACAATGGACGTTAGTGCTACTGGACGATAATTTGTTACAAGCGACCGATCACCAGCTTTGAAAACAGGTGAGATATTAGCCTGTTTCCACGAAGATGGTAGAGATTGATGTCGAAGAAACAAGGCGAATAGACGCTGAAGAATTGGTGAGATAACTTTTACAGATTTCTTAAGCATCGTTGGCGTGATAGAATCAGGTCCTGGACTTTTCTTATCTTGTAGAAGCATTATAGCCTTTGCTATATCACTAGTAGATATCTCGACGGAACAAAGTGGAGGAATCGGATGAACACACGCGTCAGGAACGTTTGGTAAGTTACTAGGAGGAGGGTAAATAGACTGGAAGTAAGTTGCAAACCTTTCTGCAATGTCGTTTGGTTTATTGATGACGTTGTTGTTATCAACGAGGACCGGAGGGGCCAAGCTAGTCTTTCTTGACCTAACGTAGGCAAAGAAACGTTTTCGGTTATCATTCAATGTAAACATGCAGGTGGTTGACATACAACCAGTATGAACTGTTAATCATGCTCTTCGTTTTATTCCGGACTTCTTTGAACTTCATCCAGTCACCTGAACTATTAGAGCATTTAGCAATTGTGAAGAGCCTATGTTTCTTCCTAATAAGGCCCTTGATTTCTCGAGTGATCCACGCTTTTGTCTTCTTGGATCCGGATAACTTGTGTGGTATGGCATCACGGGAAGCTGCTAACAACAAATCAAGGAATCCTTCCCAAGTGGCATCAACATCATTAGGGTCAAAATACAGGTCCCAGGGAGCTAACTCCAACAATTGATTGAAATGGTCAAAGTCGGCTTTTTTGTAGAGAAGAAATTCGCGTAATGTACCCTTTCCAACGAATGGCTTGAGCAGTCTGAATCTAAAATAGATGGCGAGATGATCACTCGAAACTGGGTTAGGCTGAACATTAATAGAATCAAATAGATCTGGACGGTAAGTGTAGAAGTGGTCAATCATCGAACCAATTGTGGGGTCATGTGTTGACTGGCGTGTGACAGACTTCACTTTCTGAGACAGATCAGCTGCTTCCAACATGGACAACAGCCTAACAGCATCAGGTGCATCAGGATCCTTCACATCGATGTTAAAATCACCAGTCAGTTGATACCTCTGTGATTCAATGAGGACACCTGGATCTGGTCGATGTGGTCTTGAAGTCGATCCTAGAAGTCCGATAGGTTGCTTGGAGGTCTGTATAGTGCAGATACAATCCATTTTGAACCGTTTATGGATATCTCCGCTGATATATTTTCTAACTATTGGTGGTCGAGATTTTCCAACCGTCTAGGGTTTAGACATGCTTTCAAGCACAAAAGAACACCACCACCGTGACGTACATCATTAACAGTTTCACGATCTCGTCGAAATATGACATAGTCATCAGGGATCGAAAGTTCACTATCAGTACATGATGAATCCAGCCAGGTTTCCGTAATACAGATAATGTCAGGTCGAGTGCATTCTATGAAAGTTAACAAATCTATGCACTTGTGCCGTATACTTCGGGCATTGAATGATATTCCAGACAAGTAACGGTGCGTTGACAATCTGGTTTCCGTGGTAGAGGGTCCTGGATTGACTTCTATATCTCCACTACATATTATCGAGAGTTGAAATGTGACATATGAATTAGCGTAGTAGGGAATACGGGCTCCGTGGTACCCTCTGTGTAGACTACTTTGACACCGTACAGGTTCAAAGCGACGAGCATATTCAGTTACAGGCGCTTGCCTGGGGCAAGTACTTAAGAGAAGGATAATACGCTTAACTTGTGTATCTCCATTGGAGCGTATATTGGCCAGTGCCCCTTGCTTTTGAATGATGTTACCCTTCTATTGTCTGAGGGGGACACTTCTATTGTTCTCTTGTCCCCTTCTCAACATACACAGCAAAGTGACTACACGAACATGGCTTCGGTACATACCCAGTTTACATTTTAGTTTACATTAAACACAACATTTGACTCTTAAATGAATCGCCCCGATAATGATATGTATGTTCAAGACAGGTATAGGTTTGTTGTTTCATATTTCATATCAAAATTTTTAAAAGGGAAAATAACAGCAAAATGATGCAAAGGTAAGTTCTGTCGACAAAATATAAAATCAGAAAATTGACAACCCGCATGTCTGAAGTAAAAAAGAAGAAACGAGATTTAAATATGAAACGAAGTGAAATTAAAGTCTTAGGGGAAGAGGGATGAACCCCTCGCAAAGCATCTTGGCATAGGGTGTGCTGTGATAATGTCTATCTCTATCAGTGTGAATATTTGTGGATCATACATTGTCATAGCACGCCATTTAGACGTCCTATCTCACGCTTGTTTATCGTACATGATTGTATGCTGGGATTTATCCATCGATCTTCTTTCAAAAGAGAATATTTGCTCATAATAACACCGCCCTTTTAGACTGGATATGTTCTTCGGGGTGCATGGAAGGGAAAAGTATCAGAACGCTCTCTCATCATTCTCAATTTGTCAATTTGTTGCTGTCTGGCTCCCTTGAGATATCATTCTTTGTGTACAAGTCATAATAGGAGTCTACGAAAATTCGCCTACTAAATTTTAAAGCTGATAGAAGCTTCAACTTCACCCAAAGAAATAATTTTAGTTATTATCAGAGATTTATTGTACTCTTGCTAATTAAACTTCAAGATTTCCCACTAAAGTGTATGAGAGAGGTATAAAGCATAATGTACTTGTTGTATTTTCTTTTATCTTGTTTTATACGTAACAGCTATTTTTGAAAATTGTATTACATTTTCTCGCTTAAAGCCCCACTGTACTACTTATAGCTACTTGCTCCCTCTATTCAGAAAACAATGCCTAAGCGGTGCCTGTTGGTCCCCTATGATCCTCTTTCAGAGCTGAGTTGATGAGATAACCACCTGTCAGTGACCACGCTAATCCCTCCTGGACAAACTAGTACAGAGGGGCTTAAGAGACAACTTGGTGGAAACATTCTTTCGAAATTTTCCGATCATATTTGTTTGTTTGGGGATGCTCATTATGCCGAAGGTTCATCATTTCGAACACAAGAAATTATAAGGGATTATCAACAAATGAAATATGGTTAATGATATAATTCGTAGCAATAATTTGCATTAATTCCAAATGTTCTTGTTCTAAACTTCAATAATACCGCAGGTTGGCTTATCCAACTGTCTAGATTTGAAGGGGGCGGTCATAATTACATAATGCCCCCCAAATAAAGCGATATTTGTTTTTCGGAAATCCAAACCATTATGTCGTTTTTATATTCGGAGTTATGACATGTATGAATGGGAATTACGAGCCCTATTTCAATTTTCGAAACGTGACACTCTGTTGCACTTAGAGAATTATGAACCCTGATTAATTTTCAGAATCTTTCGGAGTTATGAACATTCAAACATATCGTATAACTATAACCAACCGTCGGAATTAAATAAACCTTCGGGGGGGGGGGGGAGCACTCTAGCCGATTTCTAGATCATTTGAATTTCATTTGAAATGTAAAAAAGAAAGATCACAATGTTGGTTTGTCAAATTCCTGCACTATTAAACGTTTCTTCTTCTTTTTTTTTTAAACAAAAAATCAGTCAAGTGAGATATGAGGTGTTAAGAAAAGAGATACACTTCATTCATCAATCGATTCCTCTAATCTATTAACTCTCTTTTACTTGGGCATCAATGGTTTATCAGAGAGAGAGAGAGAGAGAGAGGGGGGGAGAGAGGGGGGGGGGGGGGGTGGTCAGCATGGGCTGCTCGAAACGAATATTACGACCCTCCCATATTCCAATATATTGCCTGATTGTCCTCTTCCATTTATCATCAACATAATATTGCCACTAATAGGTATTGTGAGGACCGTACGAACTGAAAAAGAAATTGTCTTTAAATTTAGCTTACTTGAAAAAGACAACTCTGAAATGTTATCTTTCCCTTTATAATCTCCTTACAGGTTTTTCTCATGGAATCGAAGTTCACACATCCATCGGAGGTCAGGCTTGGTACGGAGCATCGACCACCTTGTCGTGTTCTTACACACCGACATCGTCCAGAAATGATTTCACTCAACTTAAATGGGCAAAAGATGGACAAGACATCTTAGCTATTTGGGATTCTAGCGAGGATTTGCTTAAGAGGGAGGGCAGATATAATCTCTCTGTGGACTTCACATCGAGTGGAAACCTAACCTTCAACGAAGTCGAGATCGACGACGAGGGGACATATATGTGTCAGGTGAAGATAAGAAGATATGTCCTGAAAAGTTCTAGTGTGGATCTGGAAGTCCTAGCAGGTGAGATTTAAGTCTAATTGATTTATATTATGATATGAATGTATATGTATTTTGACTTTTGTTAATAATATGTTCCTAGTTTGTATATTACTTATTGTTATGTTGAAAAATGCAATATTAAATTAAAACAAACAAACAAACAAATTGCTTTTTTCTTTTTTAAACGTCACTGTATTAATCAAATGATACATAATAGTTCTCTAGTAATAAAATTATACACTGCTTAAAAGCGCATATAACTTCCATAGTGTCTAAAATAATGTTGTATATAGTTTTATTTTGAGGCAATTACTATGGATGTCTCAAATACAAAAAAAAAAGGATTGTGGTATCTAAGGGCACACGAAGAGAGCGAGAGAGAAAGAGAAGAAAAGAAAGGCCTTAGAAGGACTAAAGAACAGACGAAGAGAGAGAGAGAGAGAGAGAGAAAGAGTGTGGGGCGGATGGAGTTAGAAAAAGGGAGTCAAAGAGGAGAAAGATGAAGAGAAAGAGAAGGAGAAAAGTTACAGTAGAAAGATTGCGTGAAATAGTAAAGAGATAAGGAACAGGGGAGAGACGGTGGTGAAGGGAAAGGAAAAGAAAATAAAAGAAATGAGAGATAGAGAAAGAGCGAAATTCCTGATAGAGAAATGGACAATTTAAGGTTAAGTATATTTTTAAGGAGACAATGGAAAACGCAGCAGGGGCAAAAAAGAAGAAAATATATCTCAATAAATATGTATGACATTCAAGGAAAAGGGTGATACAACTCAAATAGGAAGAATACAAGATCAAACGTTCGATTTCATCGTATTCGGACACATACCCCATGGACATCCACCCCCAGATAAGCACCCCAGGCAACTACCCCCTAGGACAACTCCCCATAGGACTACTACCCCCTAGGCCAACCACCCTCTAGGACGACTACCCCCGGGACAGCTACCCCCAGACAACTACCCCCTAGGACAACTACCCCCGGACAGCTACCCTCCAGACAACTAACCCCTAGGACAACTACCCCCCAGATAACGGCCCCCTAGGATAGTTGTCCTAGAGGATGGTCGTCGTAGGGGGGAATTGTCTGGGGGTAGTTTTCCGAGTAATAGTTGTCCTAGGGGGTAGTTGTTCTAGTGGTAGTTTAATGGGGGTAGTTGTCCGGGGGTAGTTGCCCAAGGGAGTAGTCGTCCTAGAGGGTGGTTGCCCTAGCGGGTAGTTGTTTTAGGGGTAATTGATTGGGGGCGGTTATCCGGGGGTGGATGTCCAGGGGGTAGGTGTCCTAGAACCCGATTTCATAGGCCCGCATTCTACTAAAGATTAAAACCCGACGGGTTTAACAAAGGAAGTCATACTGAGATCTGTGTTTTAATTTGTAAAAAGTGATTTTAGACCCAGAATCGGGTTAAAGTGAATACGTGTCATAGAGTCGGTTTATTCCCCCTTTTAATCTTCTCTAGCTCCCAGTGAGTTGATTCTCAGAGGTCAAGCAGGGGAAACCCCCGTCATCATCCATCAGGGCACCGTGACACTCAAACCCAGCTTGGATGTCGAGTTTATGTGCGAGGCCATCGGATCCAGACCTTCCGTGACGATAGCATGGTACATCGATGACGCTCTCGAGGAGACAGACCTCGGGACATCGACAACCAATTCGAACGATGCTCGACTTCGAGACACGACATCGTCGCTCGTCATCGCTAACCCTGGTCGCTTGCATCACGGAATACTACTGACATGCCAAGCCCTGATTGAAGGGAGATTAGTTCGTAATACAAGCATTGTCATCAATGTAGAAGGTTCGTGAAATGACATCGACTTGGGCTCCTTGCAGTAAACATTACAAAGATAACTCGTCAGGTTTGTCAGGACAGCGCTTAAAATGGACAGGAACAGAAATCTGGCAAGATATAATTTTGTCTCGTCATTATTTTCTTTTAAGAAGTATTGCCACTAAAAACCAACAAATAACACTGTTGGTCATAATGGTGGAATAATTTTTGTTTACCCCAATTTATGGAATGATTTTGAAAATGATTTATTCCTAATAGATCTAGATAATAGTGTACATTCTCAGATTTTATTAAATAATAATTTGCGAGTGTTTTGTTTTGCGTGACTGCTTAAGCATGGGAGTGCTACTATGATTAGAAACTAGGGGACCTACGTCCTTCAGTCAGAACTGACAGTAATGAGGATTAATGCATCACAAAAGGGCACTAATATAACAAATCGAAACGGTTTTGATCCTGAGGCCTCACAGTTACGAGGCCATTGCGTTGCCACTGAACCATGACTGAACGCATCGGGGGCTAGGGTAGGGGGCAGCCCCCCAAAAAACATAAAAACAAAGACAATGCAATACATTATCAAAAAATCATTGTATTTTCCTCTGTGTGACCATGCCTTGAAGCATAATGCATGGCCATGAACCATGACTGATGAGTCCAAGGATTTAATTTTTGATTTCCATTTAACCGCTTAATTAATTTTTATCATTCATGGACAATTCTTAGGATTGCTTTTAAAATTTGTGCATTCTCCGTTAAGATGTAATTTCTAACTTGCCCTTTTGTGCTTCTCTTGATCGTGAAACTATCTTTATTGTGATTATGTTTTTGAAAGTTAAAATTGATTATACTGTCAACGCAAATTTTCATACATTTTATGTAAATCATAATTATCAATCTATGTACTTAAAGTTGAACGAGGACTTTAACATCTAAATCTTCAATTTTTTTTTTTTTATTGGCGTTATTCGGACAATGACATGATAACGAATGTACAGAGTACTTGCAAATGTAGGAGAGGAAACCGGGGTTCGCCGTCAAGTTTATTATGATGGCGAATTAGTTCTGCACATGCCATCGTTTTTTTTCAGGATTGATGATCTAATTGCTGATTTATTGTTGAACTTTTCGTTGTCTTCAGAACCACCTAATCAACCAATAAACATTCTTGGTCTTTACGACCACGTGAGCTCCTCGGAGCCACAGAGGCCATATTGTATCGCTAGTAGCAGCTTTCCAGTCTCCTTCATCACGTGGTCACTCGATGAGGAGAATGTGACCGATAACGCCGAGGTGACGACCACGGTGATGACCTCGGGTATGATGAGGGTCATCAGCGTGTTGGATTACGACCCAATGATGGAGGATGACGGAAAGGTCTTGCGATGCAGGGTTGGTCACGTGGCTCTGGCGGAGGATATCATTGCAGAGAAAGCTATCTGTGAGTAACAGCTGTCTTGATTTTCCTTACCGTTGGGGGCTCCCCCCTCCCCACCCTTCCTCGCGCCCCCTCTCCCTCTCTCTCTTTCTTTCTCTCTCTCTCTCTCTCTTCTGTTACTTTTCACGTTACTTCTGTTATTATTCTGTTATTAGCTTCCAGCACGATCTAAAATACTTTCGAAAAATCGACCTAAGACAATTTTGTTATCTTGTCTATCATCTCTTTATATAGACGAATATTCAGATGACGTATATGTCTATTACAGTAATGTACATTTATTACATTATCAAAAGACTTTATGTTCAATTTAAAGATATTAATAACAATACTATAGTGAGTTCTTGTATAGCGCTCATGTCTATCAGGCTTAACAATCCTGGCGCTTCACAATTATTACCCCGGCTTTAGAATGACTGCCATTATGGCGCTCTAACATTTTAACGCCAGGTTTCCCATTTACCTCACCTGAGTCGAGTGTGGCAAATGTACCCGCAGCGGGACGACTCGAACCGCGAACCATGTGATCTACCGTAGTCCGGTGACGTATCCACTAGGCCACGACACATAATGATGTTAATATTGACAATGCGTTACATTCTCGAGAGTCTTTGCGACCAGGGTTTAAGTTTATCATTGCTCTTTCCAGGTTTGACTGACTCTATGCTGGCCGTGTCAGTTAAGCGAGAGCTCTCAACCTCTCTCATTCTCGATCTAAGCGGCATTCAACATTCTTCTTTGTGCAGTCTCAGCACCTGCGACACCACGGAAGGTAAGCCGAATAGAAAATTGTTTTGGCCGAAATTGTCCAAAGGTTCATGAGACCAATGTTGAAAATCAACGAGACCGAGATATTCGAGCTCGTCTACCCAGTAACCTGGTCCTGAAGTGAGAGGCTCAAGCCCCCCCCCCCCCCCCACCAAAAACCCCCAAACGTTTGATTCTTGAATACACAATTTAAATGAGGCACATGCAGAAAAGAACGAAAGAACCCCGAAGTCCTCTCCCCAAGCTCCCGAAAGCACCACACACCTTTAAAATAGTATTCCTTTATAACCGTTTCGAGTTATTGTTTCAGCTTTCAGATAAGCTTCCATAAAAATCATTTAAACCAAATAACTTTTTTTCGAAATGACAAAAAAAAGAAATATTATAGATTATAAATACCTTTTTTTCTTCTTTCTTTTATTCTTTTCAACACTCCAGGCGGTGAATGCACCTCGCAATATATCGGCACCAAGTACAGTGACGTCGTTGACCATGTGCACGAAGTCCGTAATCTCCTGGCCTCGACCACCTACGAGGTCGACCTCCGTTGCCATCATAGGTTGTGCCGGGAGAGCACGGCGAGTACAAGGGCTTCCGTCCCTAGTCCCACTGTATTGATTAATGATCAAGGATCGAATCTACAGACGACTTCTGATGGTGAGTTCCCATTTATACATTTTTTTAAATGCATGTTTGCTGTGTTTTTGTTTGTTTGTAAGATTGATTTTATTTCCAAAATAAAAACATAAACAATACGTGGTGGAATTTAAAATTCAGATACGGCAGGTTGTGTGTTTGTTTGTTTGTATTTCCGTAATTAAAAAAAGAGAATAATATACATAATGAGACTTAAGAATCAGATACGATTGATGGCCCGTTTCAGCTGTACTGACAGAGAACATCTGTTATTTCGTTTTCTTTTTTGCAACTCATATCGAGTGAGAAATTTTAAAATAAACAAAGAGAAAAAAGGCTATCCATTGAATCCATCTTTCTCCAAATCGAAAATAACATAAACAGAGCACCCCAGAATGTGTGTACATTGCTAAATTTGCTCTTTCACGCAATTAGGCCCTATAATGTAGGTTACAAAATAAGGCCTAAACAAAAATGATGTTGTATTGCCCTTTAGGTGCCAAAAATGGGTCGGTCGGTCGGAAAGCTTTTTAAATTATTTTTTTAAATACTTCTTAAAACTTGTTTAAATTCCCTCTTTGGGCTGATATTTTTCCGTTTTTAATGCTTTATTACATTTTTTCTTCTAAAAAACGGTAGATTTAAAGATTTTTGGGCCGGTCGCAAAGGACAATACAACATTTTTTTAAGGCCTAAGCGGGAGGGTTCAATGTTCAACCTTTTCTACCGTTTATGTTTTGAGGATTTTCATTATCAGTTTATTTCATGGCCATATGCACAATTGTAAATAAGCCTTAACGTTACCATAGCGTCTGTTGAGAGCCAGAAGGGTACTATTCAAGTCCGTGTACAAAGCCTGAGTGATAGGAGTTATCACCTTTCCGGTTCTCAGCAGCCAAATATCGACGATGTCTGTTTCTGACGTCACACGTCAATCATTCTCGAAGAACGAGAATTCGGGGTTTAAAAGGGCGGGGCTTAGCAGAGTGATTTAGGCATGAATACATGGGGAAAATATAATTTAACAAATATTTAGATACGTATTAAGTTCAAACGGAGACCATTTTTTACTTTAGATGAGTTTCATGTACAAAATACCAAGAATTAGAATATCATGATAGGGAATAGCTATTTTCTGTTGTTTTCTCTGAAATATAGTTTTATGACTTATACCCATATTCGTATCAGGACAATTACCCCCTGGGCAATCACCCCCCGGAAAATTACCCCCCGGAAAACTACCCCCCAAGGACAATTACCCCCTGGAAATTTACCCCCGGAGAATTACCCCCCGAGGACAATTACCCCCCAAGGACAATTACCCCCTGGAAAATTACCCCCCGGAGAATTACCCCCCGAGGACAATTACCCCCCAAGGACAATTACCCCCCGGAAAATTACCCCCCGGAGAATTACCCCCCGAGGACAACTACCCCCGAGGACAATTACCCCCCGAGGACAATTACCCCCGAGGACAACTACCCCCGAGGACAATTACCACCCGAGGACAACTACCCCCCGAGGACAATACCCCCCCCCCCCCTCCCTCGAAACACCATTACCGCGGCCCGAGGACAATCACACCCAGGGAATTTGTAACACTGTGACGTATAATGCGAGCTCCTCTTCAAATTGCTATTTAGAGAAAATGTCATGAACTTTCATTTTCTTAGTTATTTATGACGGAATAGATTTGTTTCGTACAGGGGTTGTGTATAAATTATATTTATATTCGTAGCTCACATTCAAAGCCCTCGTACCCATCTGCCAAATCTTTTTGCTTGACGTACATGTATCCTCCTAGGAGGAGATTTCACCCACCCCTCTCGCTCTGTATCCATTCCACCTTTGTGAAGATTGACTTAATATGCCACGTGTATTGAATCAAATTCAATTGCCAGAAGACGCATGTATAAAATCGAATTCAATTGCCAGAAGACGCATGTATCAAATCAAAGTACGGAATTGACATTTCTTAGAAATTTAACAATACATTGCGCGCAGATGAGTACGCGTTAATACAGCTAGTCTCCCCAAAAAATGGCCCAACAAAGAAATTAGGATGTAAGATATCATTATTTATGCATCCTCTGTAACTTTTCTAATCAGCTGATCGTATATTTGTCTTTGTATGTATAATGGGCCCTCATCCATGATCTATTCCAAAATTAAGGTTCTCTTCATGTTTATAAATGTAATGTAATATATATATATATATATATATATATTTCTGTTGTCATGGTGAACTAAAATATGTTTTCTTGTACTGTAATTTATTTTGAAATAAAAATTGCCTTCAAGTTAAATATATGGTATGTACGGTGCCATATTAAAAGAAAATAAGTATCCGCACTTGGGTACATTCATCTCAATGATTTTGTAATTCCAGAGCAGCGTTTTTTCAACTGGGGTGCCGCAAGAGAATGTTAGTTACATGACAATTTTTTTTGGCAAACGTTGATTTTGTGAAAAACAAATATCAGAAACGGGTAGAGTATTTATTGTCATTAAAAAATAAAATGTAAACAAATAATAAAATGTCTTTCTTCCTTGCTCACTGACAATATTTTGCGAATATATATCTTTTATTTCGACATCACATTGTTACCACACTCATCACAATTATAAACATGATGAATCAAGGCAACGAGAGGCCCGAATATCCTCATATTCGTGTATCAAGGTCATGACCGAATATTTCACTTTATATTCGTGTACATTCGGCGGTGAGGCGCCCGCATACCTTAAATCTGTGCTAGTGTGTTGATTACAACATTATGTTTTACCATTTTGAAAATGTCTTGTCCTTGTTTTTCTTGCTCGTTCACTAAATCAAGAAACAAATGTGCCCATACGTGTGTACATAGCACTTGACGAGTGCCAGAGTGATGCAAAATAAATAGTTTGTGAAGAATTTAAGATTGGGCGAAACTTTTCATTTCTTAAGAGGGCATCGTGTCGAACAAAAGTTGAAATAACGCTGCACAAGAGAAATCCTTCGTAGAAAACAGCAACCACAGTGTTGTTGCATAGATTATAGTTAAAGAAAAATGTGTAGTAATGAGGAAGATCACGCGCAAGTATTTGAACGAATGTGGGTTCATGCACGGGATTTTATGGGCTCGTAGCCTTCACAGCATCTCTCAACGTGACAGATCGTCTTTTGCTATTGAATCCTGATTGTCCCCGGGGGGGGGGGGGGGGGTAATTGTCCTCGGGGTAGTTGTCCTCGGGGGGTCATTTTCCGGGGGTAGTTTTCCGGGGGGTAATTATCCTTGGGGGGTAATTGTCCTCGGGGGGTAATTCTCCGGGGGTAATTTTCCGGGGGGTAATTGTCCTTGGGGGGTAATTGTCCTCGGGGGGTAATTCTCCGGGGGTTAATTTTCCGGGGGGTAATTGTCCTTAGGGGGTTATTGTCCTCGGGGGGTAATTCTCCGGGGGGTAATTCTCCGGGGGGTAATTGTCCTTGGGGGGTAGTTTTCCGGGGGGTAACTTTCCGGGGGGTGATTGCCCAGGGGGTAATTGTCCTAGAACCACCCATATTAATGTCCTGCGTGCACTTTCGGTTGTTAAGGATATAGCGTCATACATTGTTTTTTAATTGTGCTTTTCAATCTTAATGTGATTTTAGTAAACTGCCTTGTTTCCCGCTCTGTGAGAAAGTATACACTTTTAATTGATGAACCTCAGGTTGCGTGTGTTGAATCAATTATAAAATGTTAAATGAATTCTTATAATCTAAACTAAATTCGATCTGCAAACTGCTTATACTCGGCAAATAAAAAAAGAAGAAGATTATTGAAATTTATTTAACCTGGGGGTGTTTGACAAAGGCTGTGATCGACGTTAAGTTGGAATTATCTATGGCAGGCCGTTCATGCCGCTGTTTGCTCTCACCATTTACTGGCATTGGTCTCTCAAGGGACGTACAAATCATGGTCACAAATCTACAAAATTTACATTATTTGATAATTCATTATTGAAGGAATTTTTTTTTATCTATAAAGCTCATAATGAAGAGAGAGCAAATAGTGGCATGAACAGCCTGCCATAGTTAAGTCCAACTTAAAGTTAATCTTAGTCTTTATGAAACACTCCCCCTGATGAATACGAAAGAAGGTGCGATGGCTCAGTGGTAGACCAGTGGTCTCGTAACCGGGAAGTCAAGGGTTCGAAACAAAGTCAATATGTTCGTGCCCCTTGGTAAGACATTAACTCTCATTATCAATTTCATCGGAGAGGACTTAAAGCCGTCGTAACCCTGGTTACTTAGGCCTATCCTTACGAGCACTTTCTTAGAATTCAGGTAAAACAATCATCAAACAAACAGTTTAATTAACAATTATTTCTTCATGAAGTATATTTGCTTCGTAATGATTTTTAGACTTATGAATGCGTAGCCCTTGAAAATGTTTTACAAAGTGTAACATTTCTTCACAATACCTGCTTCATAATCTTTGCAGAGAAATTGTGGATTCGCGACCTCATTTTCGTCATCATCGCCGTTATTGTCGTCAGCGCTTTCGTGATCGTTGTCACTGTCTCCGTCGTCCTCAGGGCTGTCGTCAAAGGTATGACGACCACTACCTTTAATATATCGAATCAAGCTCGATTTCCAAACACATGAGACGGGTTTTGATACATATAGGCCTCAACAAAAATCTTTGTGACAGAATTATTATATATTATAAGTGGAAGAGAATCTATGCCGGACCTATACGCAGAAATAAGGATGCAATTGGGGTGCAGATTTGCATCTATACCTACGCGTATTTGGCAGAGGGTACTTCTATAGTAGCGAAAGGTGCTACTATTGTAGCAGAATTGTACCTTTATTTCTTAGTGTACCGTCTGTGACTTTTGCGGTTGCTCCTGAAAAAAGAGAGTAAATTTAGCAAAGCTGATGACGTCATTTTGATAGAAATGCTGGTGATTATTGTGTATTGCCAAACACATGCATCAAGTTTAAGTTATATAGTTCATTTTTATATAAAGATATTCTTAAAGGTCAGGTCTGTTATATAGGCATGATTTATATACACTAGCATATGATGAACGGGTGACTCAACAGAACACTATTTGACTGCAGTTCATTTTCATTATCTTTATGTTCCTACAAATGCAGTAGCTGGAGCTCAAGAAGAGAATAACGTGACAATATCACCTGATCGAGTAGGTGATGCTTACCTTTTATCTATCTTGTCAACTCTGAGTAATAATCTGTGCACGGTAATTAAACTGTATTCAAACTTTTCTGATCCTGGATTCCAAAATGTAAGGCATTTCTTTCTTTTAATTTAGTTTGTCGCTACGTCTTTCTTTTTTCTTTTATGTTTTCGGGTTGTCCGTCCGTCCGTCCGTCCCGCTTTATCGTTAACGCAATATCTCAAGAACCACTGTAGATACGAACCTCGAACTGACGATAGTATGTACATGTATCACCATAAGAAGATGGTCTGATCAGATTTGGGTTCAAAGGTCAAAGGTCAAAGAGATCAATTTCTGAAATTACCTTGCTATTGCAATATCTCAAGAACCACACGACTCGGGCTTTTCGTTTTCATCGTGATATGACATGAATAATTCCATTCATTTCCAATACAGAATGTAGGGCGTAGGCATACAGGAGACGCAGTCGCATTTGTCTTGTTCTTCTTTTCTTCTTGTTCTTGTTCTTGTTATTATTTTATTTCATTTCCCCCTTCTTCTTCTTCCTCTTCTTCTTCTCCTCTTCCTCCTTCTTTTTCTTCTCCTCATCCTTCTTCCCCTTCTTATTCTTCCTCACTGGTTTTGAAGTTCACCATCCCTCTTTTCGTTTCTTCTCTACTTCCTCTTCATTTTCATGCTATGTTTGTATTACCATCTCTAATAAAACCAAGCCTACTTTTTAAACTTCTTCTATAATATAGTTATCGGTTACCTGATACGGTTGTAAAGACTTTCAAAAATTAACTTAAAGGCAATTTCAATACCCTTTTTTGTTTTATTGCCCTACGAAATTGTGTTTAAGTGATATTCCATTTCCATTGTTCGATCATTTCAATAGCTGACGCACAAGGCTATTGAAATTGATTCTTCGAAAGCTTTTGCTATCATGCTCCCTTTTATATAGATTCAGGAGGCGAACGGAGGGAAAACCGAGATTTATCATGAAATCAAGGAATTAAGATCCAGCCTCGTGCAGCCCTCTGACATCATCGTCTCCACCCAGTCAAGCAGTCCAGACCAGCAGCACAGCTTGGGTCAGTCAACGCGGTTGGTCATGCGGCACCCACGACCGCCTCCTCTACCGCTTCCAACCCATAGCATGTCGGTTACTTCTGCGGTCATGACCGCGTCCGATGCGACGGATACCGAGTCGGAGAAAGAAGGTTATATGCCTCTGTTACCATATACTTATTCCAAGTACACGACCATGAACAGCGCTGACTCCAAGTACATGACCATGAAGAGCGCTGACTCCGAGTACATGACCATGAAGAGCGCTGACTCCAAGTACATGACCATGAACAGCGCTGACTCCAAGTACATGACCATGAACAGCGCTGACTCCGAGTACATGACCATGAACAGCGTTAATACTAAGTAGATTATTACGTCACCTGATTCCATACAACCATATGAAGACTAGATTGGTATTTAGAAAAAAGAAGTATTTTTCCGAGCATACAGAGCGGATTCAGAAAAGGAAGAAGCTCTACAGATAATATTATACTACTTGAAAATAGTATTCAGCAAAGCTTAGGGAATCATGAACATACTCTAGTCTGCTTTTTAGATGTAACCAAGGCATATGATAAGTTGTGGTACAATGGTTTATTATATAAATTACTCAAACTAGGAGTGAAAGGAAATATGTATACATTTATTCAGAACTTACTACAGAAAAGAACCTTCCAAGTGAGGAATGGACAGACACTATCTAAAATATCTACCCTAGTCAATGGATTGCCACAAGGAAGTGCCATTAGTCCAATTTTATTCAACATTATGATGCATGATATACCATTGGAAAAGGAAGTGAATATATCATTATTTGCAGATGACTGTGCTATATGGAAATCAGGTAAAAATGAAAAGTTTGTCCAAGACAAAGTACAAACATACCTACATCGGTTAAATGAATGGTTTAAATACTGGGGATTTCAATATATCATGACAAAACAGTTTCGCTTCTATTTACAAACAGTAATAAAAATTGTGAACTGAAACTTGAAGGAGTACCCTTACGTTCTGTACAGGAGCACAAATTCCTAGGCTTAATGTTTGATACAAAATTAAGTTGGAGACCACATATTCAGGATATAGTAAAAAGATGTAAAATAAAATTGAATATTTTGAAGAAAATAACTGGTATATCATGGGAAATGACTCCCATTCTATGCTTATTGTATATAAAGCATTAATACGTTCACTATTTGACTATGGATGTGAAGCATAATTATGATTCGGCTTCAAACTTAGTGAAGAATACGTTGAACTCAGTACAATATCAGGCTTTAAAAATTATAACTGGTGGCCCTATTGGAACTTTATTACAATCCCTGCTTAAAGAAACAGGAGAAGAACCACTAGATATAAGGAGAAAAATGCTGACGAATAGATATTATTTTAAAGTTAAATCTACTTCCCAACACCCGGTCCAAAAATGTACAATCAATTGTTGGCAGTATGAAAATCTTTAAAAAAAGAAAGGAAAAAAGCCCTTTGGTTTTAGAATTCTAAATGAGAAAATAGTTCAAGAATCGGATGAGGTTTAAGAAAATAGACCAATACCATTCCCACCGTGGCATTACATACCACCCACCATCTCCACTGAATTACATACTTTAATCAGCAAGAAAGACAACCCACACTATACCCCGGTCCCCAACATAAAAAAAATCCTCTGGACGGCCATGCATTATGGCTCAAGGCATGGGCACACAGAATTTTGTTTATGTTAGGCACCGGGTTTAAATGCAATAAATTATTGAAAATTTATTGCATTTTCTGTTGTTTTTTTAATTTATGGAAACTGCCCCCTACCCTAGCCCCCGCTGCGTACAGTCATGGTTCGGTGACAAAGCAATGGCCTCGTAACTGTGAGGCCCCAGGATCAAAACCGTGTCGATGTGCTATTTTAGTGCCCTTTTGTGGGGCATTAATCCTCATTACTGTCATTTATGACTTAAGGGCATAGGTCCCCTAGTTGATAAGCATAGTAGCATACACATGCTTTAGCAGTCACGCAAAACACACATTGGCAAATTATTATTCAATAAAATCTGAGAATGTATACTATTATCTAGATCTATTATTTTTAAATTATTTTTAAAATAATTCCATAAATTGGAATTAAAAAAAATATTCCACCTTTATGAGCGACAGTGTATAAATGATTTTCTTATAAAATTTAAGATATGGCGTATATATTCAATACTGAATGAACACCATTAAACTATTACCTACAACAACAACATCATACAACCATTTCATATATTTTCTTTTGTTTATATGTTTTATTTGCTGCAAAAGTAATCAGGAAATTGCAACATTAACACCATACGATGCAATTTTATATCAAGCATCAAATCACTTCCTTTCCGTTTGTTACGGACAAATCTTCAAATAAAACAAGTATCTGCAATCTTGAACTTTTGTTTTTTTGTTTAAGTACCTAATGGCTACCTGTTGTCCTGTTCCTATATTAATTTGCATAATCGCCATTCATTTGTTTGCTCCTTGCCAAAATTTCACATTTTCATTCATTTCACAAACATATAACATTTTTATTCATGCGTCTAGCATCAACAGCTTGTAGGTATATATATATTACTGTTATAAATGTTATGATGTAATGCGATACGCTCACAAGTAAAGTCATGAAACGGTTATGATTATATTGCAATGTGATTTATCAGGACGATAAAGGCCTTCATAAGGAAACGCAATAATTATCATAAAGTTATCTTGCAGGCGTACAATATTGGAAATATGTATCCATGGCAATTTGTAAAAGTGGACTGAATGTCAAGTCAGTACATTGTATAATTAAATTGATGGGGGACGGGTCTATTAGAAATTGTGTGGTAGATATAATTTGAGGATGACAGTAGTTGAATCAACTATGTATATATATATTTTTTTATTTTGTACGTAATCCATGCTGTGTATTTTGTACTGTTTGCTGCATGTTTATAGACAAGATACTTCATTGTTAAAATATTATGAGGAAAAAGATGTTACTGTATTTTTAATACATGTATACCTAAAATGAAAACCAAGTGATATTCATTTTCATTGTTTTTATTTGACACACGACCGTAAAGTTCTTCAGAATATAAACCTAGGGCAATTTCAAGAGCAATTTGCATCGCTTTTTCATATGTGCAAACATGCAATGACTCATTACATAATGCAATCACAATGTCTACAGGCAGCAGTACATTAGGGTATTGAAATTGCCTAAGTTCGTGAAAGTCTATGCGATCATGATTAAGTGTGTATACATCTAACTACACAATTATGATGCACACATCACAGTATATATTGACTGTACTCTATTTCATGAAAATTACATATTACAAGAAGGAAAATGAAGTTTAAACTTTAACGTGAAGTCAACCTTCACTGAAGGTAGAGAGGGAATGTGGAGGTGTCTTGGTTTTGTGGTTTATGCACTTGACTCCCATCCAAGGGTTGAAGGTTCGAATCCCAGCCCGGCATTCACGCCCTTTGACAAGACATTAATCTACAATTTCCACTCCCCCATGCAGTCATTGTAGTTTGCTCAGCATTGTGAGCGTCTGTAAAATGGCGCCTGGTTGGAATGCTCACCAGGGAGTGGCGAATGTGCAGGGAAGACCTGAATATGATGATCGGTGTACTAAAATATTTGTTTCTGTAAAGCGCTTAGATACATTGTCGATGAATTAAAGCGCTATGTTAACCGAGAATCTCATTAGTACTATTAAAATGAAACAAATCTATGACAGTTAGAGAGAATCCGATTAAGGATATAATAGATTAAAAGCCTCGGTAGTTTTGAGATACCTACCCAAAATGACATTTCTGCTTTTTGTGACTATTTCATAATTCACTTCTTCAAAGAAAAGCTGCATTATGACCGAAGTCGTCCAAGCATTCTTGTAATCGCTATTCTCCTTTTTCAAATTAATTAAATCCTTCATCAACAATCGTGGAGGTTTATTTTCATAACGAATATTTGTTTGATAGGAAAGAAATTGAGAATAGCTTGCAAAGGAAATCGTAAAATTGCCACCCTGTGAACATTCATCAGGACTTTCAATATGCATGCCTTTCTTATTCTTTATCACGATCACAGTTGTTTTAATTTTGTAAATATATTTTTTTATCAGACGTTGCTTGTAACAATAAGTTTGTAACAATTTTGTATTTTGATTAAATTCCACTCGACGTCTCCTTGGTGAATTTTCCTTTAACCCTCATGATCATCCTTAAAGTAGACATTGATTAAAATAGACATTGCATGTCAAATAAAGCTCATGATTGAAAGAAAGTGAAACGTGTCATATCTCTTCCCTGAAAATACATGTCGACAATGTTTGATCGTGAGTGGGTAGATTCCATAATATACCATGGCGAATTACGAACTTGCCGCTGAATACAAACAATGAGACAAACAAATAAAAAAAGCAGCAACGGTAGCTTTGAATTAAAATGAGTCGCACGTGATAGAGAAGTGAAAGTTGTCATCCTGATATGTGGTGAAGGTCAATATGTCGCGTCTTGCAGCTGAATAAAAACCTTGAGACAAACAAATAAACAAATAAAGAAAACATAAAAACAAAGACAGCGAAAGACAGCTTTGAATCCAAATGATTTGCACGTGATGAAGAAGTGAAAGTTTTCATCATGATATGTGGTGAAGGTCAATAGGGACTTTTAGATTTGCGTGGACGTGGACGTGTTACGTCCTTTTAAGGCAATGGCAGCCAGATGTAACGTCCTTTTAAGTACATGGCAGTGCCTTAAAAGGAGGTCACATGTTGCAGTCCACGTTCTCGTCGTGCAAATCTAAAAGTCCCTCATATGGCGCGTCTTGCAGCTGAATAAAAACAATGAGACAAACAAATAAATATATACAGAAAAAATAAAAAAATAAAGACAGCAACGGTAGCTTTGAATTAAAATGAGTTGCACGTGATGAAGAAGTGAAAGTTTTCATCATGATAGGTAGTGAAGGTCAATATGTCGCGTCTTACAGCTGAATAAAACAATGAGACACATAAACAAACAAAGACAACAACAGCTTTAAATCAAAGTGAGTTGCACGTAGTGAAAAAGTGAAAGTTGTCATCCTGATAGGTAGTGAAGGTCAATACGTCGCAGCTGAATAAAAACATTGAGACAAACAAATAAACATATAAATAAAAAACAAAAACAAAGACAGCAACGGTAGCCTTGAATGAAAACGATTTGCACGTGATGAAGAAATGAAAGTGTTCATCCTGATATGTGGTGAAGGACATAGAAAGAAAAACTAGATTTTATATAAACTAGGTATGGCACATTATAAACATGGGTAACGCCGAAAATTGCAACCAGTCCAGGAGGCCGCCCTTTTTG